GAGTTCATGGTTACATTGTATCGAAAAATAAATAAATTGGAATATGATGTGTGTATTTAATGGCTATAGGTTACAGAAGCTCACAACTGACAACCATACAATGTTTGTGAGTTTAGAGTAAATTTATTATAATTGAATGGTGATTTAGTGAATTATAAAAAATAAAAAAAAAGATGACAGTGTTATTTTAGTGTTATTTATATACTATTATAGTATTTATCAATATTTCAATATATTTTTAATTAGCTTTTATTTTCACATTTTCATTTTTAATTACAATTTGTTTGTTTTAGTAATTGTTATGTGCTTTTGTCATTTTAAGTATTTCTAGTTATAGCTTAAATTTATTTTTTTCACTTTTAGTCTTTAGTCATTTTAGTACTTAAGCTTATTTCAGTTAGTTGCCAAGACTACATTTCTTATTTTTGTTAAATTTTTTATTTTATTTTAGCTTTATTTTATTTTATTTTAGCTTTATTCAAAATTATTTTCAGTAATTCAAATGGTTTTAGTTTACAATTAAAAACCCTGGTTTCATTTGGGGGCTTTTCTCAGCAAATATGCAATTAATTCAGTTCATTTGATTACTTAAACAGCACAAAATGTATAACATTTTTAATCGGTTGACAACTTTCAAAAAATAAATAAATAAAAATATGCTGGTGGAGGATCTGAACAGGTACAGCTGGATTATACCTGTGAGTCATTATAACCTTTCCTAGATAAACAAAAATGTCACGGTAACAGGATAATTATTCAGGTTGTTCATCTAAAGGACAGCTGTGAAAATGAAGACTAAAGAGCATTCTAAATATGTCAGTGATCATGTTAGACAAATGCTTTAGGAAAAGGTTACAAAACAATGTCCAAATCTTTGGATGTCCCAGCGGTGTTGGTTCAATTATGAGGAAGTGGAAACTACCACAAACCCCCCAGACGCCATCGAGAAAAGGTCATCCCTCAAAAGTCTCTGCACAAACAAGCAGATTTGTAAGAGAGGCCAGAGATCACTTTGAAAGAGTTACAGAGTTCAACAGTTGAGAAGAAAGTAAAAGATGGAATGAGCAGTCACGCATTATCATAGCCCCATATAGGAGGCTAATGTTGCTAAATAAACCACTTTATCTAAAAACACCTTATTCTGGTTATATCTGACAATGTTCCCCATTGCATCTGGGAACATTTCAAGAAAAAATATTTAAAGGAAAACTTCACCCAAACATGAACATTCTGGCATTATTTACTCACCTTCATGTTGTGTGAAACCTGTGACTTACTTTCTTACATTGAACACCAAAGATTAATTTAAAAAAAATATATATATATATTAAGGCTTTGAAACGGGATGGAGTCTGTCAAGCTCCTAACAAGAAACACCATGAAAACTGTCCATGCAGAGGAGAAGATTTATGAGTGAATAACAATTTGGTGCAAATTGGTGTATGGCTACAGAAAAGATGAAGAACACGCTGAAAAAAACAAAAAAAAACAAGAGAACCTGTTTCTGAAACAAACAAAAAAGCCAGTAATTGATAACAAAAAAGCATCAGATAAAGGCGAATTTCCATACAACATCAGTATGTGAAACTAAATTTACAAACAGCATAAGTGTCATCCTATTACCCTGAACAACCTGGAGCAAATCCGCCAGAATTCAATTAAAGGGCAAATGAACACCTGTAGAGTGTGTGAAGCTCCTACATACACACCCTAAGAAGTGTTTGTCTTTGCAGCAAAGGGTGGATCTACCAAATATTAAATTGTGAAGATACAGTTCTTTAAACTGTTGCTGTTGTTTAACGTTCTACGTCTAACGTTCAACATCAAAATAATTTAAAGTTTTAATGCATTGAAAGATGAAAAAAAATATGCATAATTTGTCCATTTAAAATGAATTAGTTGAGTGTCTAAATGCATTTGCAAGACTTTGCGTTTGTGTTTGCTGGCTCATTAAATTTGGGTTTTGGCTACAAAAACAGAACAAGGATGGACTGATGCGTTTACCTCATTTAAGATTACAAAGGCAATTTAATGTCTTGCGAAAATTGATAAGACAGTTAATGGCGTTCAATCAGGCGTTATTTATATTGTTTACCTTGGAGCTTTTCACTTATATTTCATTAAATGATTTGCATTCCACCCCCAAACAGTTTGAAAGAACATTTAGACAATGAAAACTTTGGTCCGAACACAATATGACAGATAGATAGACAGACAGACAGACAGACAGACAGACCAATAAGTAAACCTTAAATCATGTCGTAACTTTCCTGATATTTTGTGCGTCTGTGTGTTTGTTGCAGATATATGATGGGAGTCAATCTAGGGGGTAGAGATCATTCGTTCATGGACGATGGCTACCAAGTCAATCCCAAGCTGGTTGTCATTGTTCTGAACACACAGAGGGAATGGGAGAAGGTAAGAGCCTTTAATCTTTATATACGTCCCGAATCTCCATTTTCTTCTATTAGCTCTGCCTGTAAGGGATTCTGGAACCATAAGCAATCAATATTCTGTTTACTAGCTCAGAGCCTTTTTGTGACTGTGACTGAAAATGCACTGGACTTTGCTATTAGAGAAGAAGAACATTTCATTTGTACTTCCATTTTCCCAGCCTGGGGTTTTTTTATGCACGTGACTTAAACTATTGTTTACTTAGCCATAAAGAGTCAAAATAGCCCATATTAAGGCATTGGTTTCCTAACGAATTTATTGCGAGCTTTAAATTGGAGAAGAGTGCACATGTGTCTCCATCCAATTCGATTGTGCCCTTTTTCATTTCTCTCTCTGTTTTGGCTATTAGCAATAATAATTTGCTTGTTTTTTTGTACAGTAATCTATTCTCTGTCTTTGCTCCCTTTCTCTAATTAGCTTTACATGCTCTCCTATTCTATCTCGGCGCTTCACACATTCGTTTTCGTAATCGTTTGCTCACTCATGCGTTCTTTTAATGAGTTGTTATTTCTCTGAGGTGTGTTGGATGCTGTGTGTTTTGACAGTGCCCTGCAGTGTGTGTGAAGACACACACACACTCACGTTAAAACCCTGCAGTGATTGTGTGAAAAGAGTGACACTAATCATTTCTCACTGCAGCGGGACTAGAACAGAGTGTGAGCCGATTGTGTTATCGGAGCTTCTAGATGAGCACACGCACTTGACGGAACACATAACTACTGCATGAAGAGTGCAGTGCACATACATGGGGTAAACTTGACACATTATGTTGTTACAGTGGTAGCTGACATGGCATTTCAAGCAGCAAGAGAAAAGCACACACACCTCACGGAATGCATAACTATTGCATAGAGTGCTGTGCATATACATGATGTAAATTTGACATGGCAGTAGTTGACATGGCATTTCAAGCAGCAACAGCAATATCTTGCAGTGTGCCGTGCTATCTGAAATGACTTTAAACAGCTTTTTTCTTTTGTAATTAGTACACATGCAGTTTTAAGGCACTTCTTAAAATTAGTTTGTACCCCACAGGACTATTTAAATCTGTGATTCCTAACTGGTTTTGAAGAGTTCATTTGCAAAAACCGATTACTCCATTTTTATCATTTACATGTTTGTTTTATTGCACATTCCAAGTAATATCAATCTAAATTGCAGTAGGGTTGTTTTGATTAAGTAATAATAACTTAAACAAATACAGGTAATTTACAAAATTTAAAGTTCATTGAATTTTATTTTTATTTATTTATTTTATTTTTTTAACATATTAAAAGTTTGTTTTATAGCAAAAGCAGATAACTCCAACAGTCGTTTTTTGGCAAAAGCAGATAACTCCACATTTCATGTTTTAGAGTTTAGAAAAAACACTTGTTTAATCTTTGTAATCTCCTCAGATAACAATGTAGATGCCTGACAAACGTTGTTGTTGTGATCA